GGGCAAGCTGCACAGTCCCAGGGCTACCCAGGAGGAGGGGAACGGTGAACCACTTCTGCATATTTTCTACCCAGAAAGCCCTGGAAGGGGGAGGGATCATTGTAATTCGAATTTGACTTGATAGTATACGGCTATTAGCAGTTACAAATGCATTTTCTTTTCTTGCTACATATAGATCTTTCTGCAGGGCTGAAGGGAGAAGGGATTATATATGATTTGATTCACGTACCTCAGTATTCCGGCTGCTTTGCCTTTGGCACGGGCTTGCGCATATTGACTTCTGGCTGCAGATTTCTCCTTAATTGAACTTGTGAAGGTGATGCCATTGACGTTCCTATGAAGGGAGAAACCCAACGTGAGAGTGTAAGGGATCTCCCTTTAGGCCCAAAAGAGAGAGAGGGAGTTTTTCATCACCATTGACCCCATTTCTACTTTTTCCCACTTTTGGTTTTAAATCAAATTCTGCCCTTCCTATAAAGAAATTGGTGGAAAAGTGCTAAGTGCTCATACAAAAGCAGGAAACTGATTTTTCGCCAGCCAAATTGAAGCAACAGAGCTATTTTTGATTTAGAAAGGACCCTGCGCGACCCATAAATGGCTTGGAATGGGGGGCTGCTACCACCCCAATTTTGGGTTAAAGTGCCCTGTGAGCCCCCCCTTCCCTCAGTTGTGTCTGTTTGCCTGGTGGCTGTAAAGCTGATGAGACTTGACAGGGAAAAAAAGGGGTTTTTTATCCTTATTTAGCATCACAAACATGATTAAAGCAACCAAAACATGAATTCTTTTTTTCTTTTCCCCATTTTGTGCCACATTACTATTGTTGTTGTTTTAAACTTTATTATATTGTTTTTATTCCATTTTTTATTGTTAGCCGCCCAGAGTAGACTTCGGTCTAGATGGGCGGGGTATAAATCTTATAAGTAAATAAATAAATAAAAATAAACTACAATTCTCAGGGTTGAGCACTGTTTCATTTTTTCCCCTCCCACATTGATATTTTAAAAATGCTCAGCCCCCTTTTTTTTTCAGTGTCCTCTGAATAAACACAGATTTTGGAAAGTTCTAATCCAGAAATGAACCCAGACCCAATCTCTCCTTTCCCAAAGCAGGAGGAGGAAGGAGAAGAAAAGAGACGGAAGAGATATTTCTACAGAGTCCAGCTGAAAGTGGCTAAAGTCTAGGGACGTGATGTGGAAAAGATAGACTCAACTTTGCCACTCAGGTATAAAATTCAGTCAATGTCTCATCACCTTCACTCCATACTCAGATGGAGAGTGATGTTAAAACAAAAGAACTGTGCAAATGGTTTCATGTTCCTGAGATAGTTGTGATCCTTCATATCCTACAAAACTGCCATTCAGGTTTGCAACTAGCAATAGCTGAAAAGCACAAAAGCCTTAAATGTTACAAGTGACATGACTTAGGGGGAGCTTCCTTGAGCAGGACTTTGGTTCCTGGATCTTCCAAAGTGGCCCAACCTGCTTGCTCTAGGTAAGCTACCCATCCTATTCAAAGTGGTTCAACCAGCTCTGTTATTACTTACATGGTAAAGTTGTGAATGAAAGCTCCTTTGGGTACCTGGACATCAAAGACCAGGTTCTGAGGATGCCTGGCTCTGTTTTCCACTTTGGTCTGGACCATCGTGTTGGCGAGACGAGACGTGATGACGGACTGGACCTTGTAGCTATGGAGGACTATGTTGTCATCACCAGCAACCTGCAATTGTCAAACTGTTGTGGTGAGATCCACAATATCTTTTTGCTTCTCAAGACAGGGAAAAAGGTGGCCTTTTTGTTAGAATATAGCTCCCTTGCTATGGGCTATGACGGTTACAGAGGATGGGTGTTGTATTCTGATAATGAATAGAAGGTCCTTCATGTGTTGGAATCATCTTGCATTCCTAGCTTAGGTGGCTCCTCCAAGATCAGAGGTTCTCAAAATGAACACCCTGAGGTTCTTGGACTACCTCTCGCAGAATTCCTGAACATTGGCTGTGCTAGTGAAGGATTCTGGAAGATGTAGTCCAGGAACCTCTGGGAAGCCCAGGTTTTGGAACCACTGTCCTAAAACAAGCGGAGGAAGATATTGACGGAAAGAATGGAGGACATGCTTCCAACCAGGAAGAGATTAAACAACCTGTAATCATTTTTGTTGTTGTTTTTAGGTCGGAACAAAGCAAAAGACACAAGGAAGTGAAGAAGGAATCGAAAAGGAGACAGAAATGCAGCAGAATCAGAAGTTCAGGAAATTTTCAACATACGGGCTGACTTAAATGTAAAGATTTTTGAGGCTCCTGAAAGATGAACGGGTATTTTTAGGTATCAGCTTTTGCTGACTGCAAGTTAGCATCATCAAATGTGTGCAACATATGAAAAGGGTGGGCTGCTGTTCATAAAAAGATTATGCCAAACTTGATTATGAAAGATTATGAAAAACCTGTTAATCTTTCATGAGCTACTTCTTAAAAGTAAAGCTGTTTTAGCATTTTGCAGGGCAAAGCCTGTGTTCAACTTCAATTGTATGTATGTATGTATTTATTTACATTTATAGGCTGTCTTTCCTTATAAGGTAACTTTCCGCTATTAGGATACAGCTATAGCAGCAGGGACCGAGCTAGCGTGGGCTGTTTGGGAACGTTTGGACTTGATTCGAATGAAGTCTGACCGCTCACATGGAAATTATTCCTGCCAATTTCTTTTTTCTCTTATTTTTAATAAGAGAGCCACTTCAGGATATCGACAAATTAATCACTTCCCCTGTCTGGCAGAGGGTAGGGGAAGTGAAAAAAATCTTTTCTTGACTGTGTATAGACTATCGCTAATGCACTGTATCAGTTGTTATTTTTTTTATCTTTTCCCCTGTCTAGCAGAGGGTAGGGGAAGTGAAAAAAAATCTTTTCTTGACTGTGTATAGACTATCGCTGATGCACTGTATCAGTCATTTTTTTATCTTCTCTTTGCCTTCTCTGTGCAACTGAAGCCACTGCTGTGGATTTAACTATGGGCAGTTTCTTGGCCAGCCCTTTAAGGTGAAGTGAAGACAAGATTTTTTAAAAAATAATAATAAATATTTGCTATAACTAATGCAATGCATCAGTGATAGTATTTTATATAACTAATGCATCAGCGATAGTCTACATAACAGTAAAAAAAAATTTTTTCTTCACTTCCCCTGCCCTCTTCCGGTCAGGGGAAGCAATTAAATTTGCCAATATTCTAAAGTGGCCTGCTTACTAAGCCACTTCACAATACTGGCAAATTGAAAGAGGAAGGCTTACATTCGATTGGTTCCAGAGATCACACACACTGGAACTGATCCAAACCTCAGCGATCCTACCTGCACCAGAAAAGTAGAAGCTCCTTAATAGGGTTGAGAAAGGTGTAGGTAGGAATGCTAAGGGGACAGGTTGGTGCACTATAGGAAAGATGTTGTCCGATTGCCATCTTGAAGGCCACACCACCCTGTCCCTGCAGGGCTTCAAACGGCAGAAAAAGGGCCCATGTCATCAGCCTCTTAATTTATGAATATACATCTATCCAGTGTGGTATACTGCATAGGGTGGCAAATTATGAATCAGGAGACCTGGTTTCGAATCCCACTCCAAGACTGTGCTCTAGAGATGGGGATATTCATATTTTTAAACAAATCCCCATCCCAGCTGGACCTAAGGAACTCTGTCGTTTCCCTGCTCGGCTGGCCAGTCAGCAGCTGGGCAGGGAATCTAGTGCTCCCTGCCTGGAGTGGCTAGGCAAGCAGGAAGACATCAGATCTCTGTGCATCATTGGCAGGAAGAGTGGGAGTAGTGGGACACGTGAGTGGATAGTCCAGTTCGGGGGGGGGCGGCAGGACCCTAATTAGGTTCGGCTGGGATGAGAATATTCATATTCATTGACAAATACGAATCTCCCCATCTCTGTTGTGCTCCCGGAGTTCTGGATCTCTGAAATTCCAATTTTAAAAAAATTCTGAATTCGAAGGGCTATAATTCCGAATTCCGAATCTGAATTCCAAATCTGAATTTTGGTGCTGGTGAACGCCCTTCATTCGTATCCGTACCTCTTTTTCTCCCCCTCCCCCCAAATACTGTAAATTTATAAAGTTTTTTTCCCTCTCGCACCGATCCCCTCGACAGTTTCCATCTGGGCTCTGTTGTGACAACATTGTGCAAGAGAAGGCAAGTTATTTGAAAACAGGCCTGGTTAATATCCTGCTGCCTAGACAGAGAGACAGAGAGAGAGAGAGAGAGAGAGAGAGAGAGAGATCCTAAAGCAAATGGTGGAATTGACCTTCGGTTAACAGTTAACCTGATGGTGGGGGTGGAAAATCACTTTGTAACGGAGAAAGAAGAAGAATCAACCCCAGCGCTCACCAATTCTCCCGAGTCCTCGTGGTTGGTTGTGCTTCTCTAGAGTTAAAACAAACAAAGACAGTATCAGTTGTATACTCTAAAGGTTACAGAAAGAGTGAGTGAGATCAACGCCTGGAAAAGTAATGTGGGCAGGCGGGCAGGGTTACAAAGGATTTTTAAACTATATCTTCCAGAATCCAGAGTTCGAAAAACAGGAAACTTCCAAGTAGGGAATGCTGGATATCTGTATGGTTTATCTTGAGGGAATCACCAACGGTGCAGATATTAACCTTAGAACACTTATTTTTCCCCAGCTGGGAAGGTTTTTTTTCAATTGGGATCTGAATGAAGATTGAATAACTGCAGTCTTCCTCTTTTCCAGTTCCTTTTCACATTTTTAAGAAATGACAGATTGTCTTGTTTACATTCTGCCAAAAACTTGGAATCAGCTTGGTAGGAAGTCTGGGAGAAAACCATGACAGACATAGCAACTGGTTCATAGAAATCAGAAATATAAATCTGAGATGCAAAATGGAAAAAAACCCCAAGCACTATACTACTATTATTATTGTGGTTGGTATATTAGAAGGCCCATGAAGAGAAAATTATTCCACCTGAAAAATCACAAATTTTATTTTTTTTTATTTAAAAAAATGTCCTTTTTCCCCCTAAGGGAGGGAGCTAAAAATAATGTCTTACTCCAGTGGGTTAAGCATGCAATTAGCTTCATGACAAGTCAGAGAATGGCAGAATTTTCAAATCCAGCTCACAAGCAAAGCTAGGGAGCAATTGTGTCTAATTTTTTCCCCATCTTTACAGAAATCAGAAATGTAAATCTGAGATGCAAAATGGAACACCCCCCCAAGCCCTATACTACTATCATTATTGTGGTTGGTTTATTAGAAGGCTCCTGAAGAGAAAACTACTCCACATGGAAAATCACAAATTTTATTTTATTTTATTTTATTTTTTAAAAATGTCCTTTTTCCCCCTAAGGGAAGGAGCTAAAAATAATGTCTTACTCCAGTAGCTTAAGCATGCAATTAGCTTCATGACAAGTCAGAGAATGGCAGAATTTTCAAATCCAGCTCACAAGCAAAGCTAGGGAGCAATTGTGTCTAATTTTTTCCCCATCTTTATTGCACAGGTCAAGCAGAAAACGATCTACTATGAAAGCCGTTTCGAAGGGCTGTACGACTCCCACCTCATTCCCTTCAATAGGAAAAGGCAACTTGAAATTTAGTGGTTCTGGATTTGGCCCTTTTTCCAGAAAAGGAATCAGCCAATGGTTCCCAACCTTATGTCCCTAAAACTCCCAGAAGGCTTCACCACTAGCTCTGCTGGCCAGGATTTCTGGGAGTTGTAGTCCAAGAACATCTGGGGACTCAAGGTTGGGAAGCACTGAAATAGGCAATGAGTTCCATAGATTTCATGAAAGAGCACTGGAGCACAATGAATTCAGTGGGGACTCAAGGTTGGGAAGCACTGGAATAGGCAATGAGTTCCATAGATTTCACGAAAGAGCACTGGAGCACAATGAATTCAGGCAGGAATTCAAGCATAGCTTGCACTTGTAAGCCTCTTTTAACACCATTCGACCTGCAGTTAAGGCAAATTGGTCTCTATACCATATAGCTATTCTTTCCCCCATTTCAGTCTCATCACATCCTCATTCTAAGGACTCCACAATCAAGAAACAGGCTACTGTACCTGACGCCTGCCATTCCGCAGAGCAGATCTGGAAGCAAGTCCATCCACCTCCCAGTCAAACAACTCATCCAGATCCTAGAAGAAGAGCCACCGAAAAGATCAGAGAAGCAGAGGGAGATTGTCTGTAGACTTCCTACATCATAGAATCATAGACTAATTGAGCTGGAAGGAGCTTATAAGACCTTCCAGCTCCTGCTCAAGGCAGGAATCCCAGTCACAGCATGTCTGACAAAGGGTGGTCCCATTTTCTGTTGAATGCCTCCAGCGTTGGAGCACTCACTGCCTTCCGAGGTCATTTGTTCCATCGTCATACTCCTCTAACAGTTAAGAAGTTTTTCTTGATATTCAGCCTAAATCTGGCTTCTTGTCGATTGAGTCCATTATGACATGTCCTGCACTCTGGGATGATTGAGAACAGATGCTGGCCCTCCTCTGTATGACTGCATTTAAAAAGTGTTCTCAAGGCTCAACAGTCCCAGTTCTTTCCATCTTTCTTCCTAGCGCTTGGTTTCCAACCCCCTGATCATCCATGTCGCCGTCCTCTGAACTTGCTCCAGTTTGTTGGTCTCTTTCTTGAAGTGCAGTGTCCAGAGCTGGACATGGTACTCTAGATGAGGCCTAACCAGAGGGGCTACTATTTCACGGGATTTGGAGACTATGCTTGGGTTAATGCATCCTAAAATCACATTTGCCCTTTTTTGAAGCCACATCACACTGTGGGCTCACATTCAGCTTCTGATCTACAGCAGGCATGTAAAAGATCATCAAGCCAAGACAGAGTCAGAAAAGTTAGCAGAAGAGGGTTAATTTTTTTTTTATTTTTTATTTTTTGTTATGTACTGTCAAGCATCTAATCTATGGCAATCCTAATAGGGTTTCCAAGGTCAGTGAGAGGTTTAAGGAGTCATTTTACCATTGCTATGTACTGCCTCCGAGAGTTACCATGGTCAAGCAGGGATATGAACCCAGATCTCCTGGATCTTAATCCATCACTCTATCCAGGGCACTGTCCGAACACTGTTAGCAAACTCAAAAATCCAACCGAGTACATACTAAGTTGGAGGGTGCGGATTTTTAAAAGTTAAATTGTCATTTAGGTTTCAGTTAGATTATTTACAATTACTTACAACCTTATTGCAAGGAGTTAGAAAATCTGCTCCCAGAGATTGGGGTCCTGGATCAAACGGAGAGACTACATGGGTGCAGCATCTACACCTGGTTCTGATAGTTGCTTTTGCACATTGAAAGCAATGGCAGAGGGGGGTTGGGCTAGCATGCTCCCCTCAATGTGTGTGGTCTGGTCTCTACACATTTACCAAAGAATTAAAGGGTATCCCTTTAGACACAACTGAACTTAATAAGTTAGGGCAGTGGTCCCCCAACCTTGGGCCTATCTCTACACATTTACCAAATAATTAAAGGGTACCCCTTTAGACACAACTGAACGTAATAGTACATTAGCGTGCAGTGATGCCTCGCAAGACAAAATTAATTTATTCGCGAAGGCTTTCACGGCTGGGATCTAATGGTTGTTGTGGGTTTTTCGGGCTCTTTGGCCGTGTTCTGAAGGTTGTTCTTCTTCACGTTTCGCCGGTCTCTGTGGCGGCATCTTCAGAGGACTAGTAATTTGTTCCACGAGTTATGTCGTATTGCAAACATTTTGTCTTACAAAGCACGGCCCTAGGAAAATTCATCTTGCGAGTCACCAAAAAATCGCAAAACACTTTTGTCTTGTGAGTTTTCCGTTGTGTGAGCCATTCATCTTGTGAGGCATCACTGTATATGGGGCAATAGAGGGAATTGTTACATGGGGCAATAGAGAGAATTGTAACAGAGCAAAATACAGTTTTATTCAATTTTTCAATCTATTTATTTGAACACCTTTATTTCTATAACATGGACAAACTGCAGTTTGAGGCAAACCTTCTAGAAGATTGAGGCAACCCAGACTTTATCCCAGTGTGGATTAAAAAAGGGCAATAGAGGGAATTGTAACAGAGCAAAATAGAGTTTTATTTCATTTTTTTCATCTATTTATTTGAACACCTTTATTTCTATAACATGGACAAACTGCAGTTTGAGGCAAACCTTCTAGAAGATTGAGGCAACCCAGACTTTATCCCAGTGTGGATTAAAAAACCAATAACACACCAATAAACATGTGCTCACATTCACACACATAAGACACTTGACTACTAAAGAAAAACCTTCAGACCTCGTCAAAGTCCACACCTTCTAACCAAGATCAGAAATTGCAGTTTGGGGCAACAAGTACAAACCTCCTAGAAGATTGAAGCAACCCAGACTTCAGCCTACTGTGTGTTAAAAAAAATAACACACCTATAAACATGTGCTCATATTCACACACATACAGACACCTGACTGGTGAACAAACACCTTCAGACCTCGTCAAAGTCCACACCTTCTAACCAAGATAATTATAAATCCCAGATAGACAGGCATCACTTTGATTGCTTTTGTTGCTTCTGTTCTTGTCCACTCTACTCATGCTCAGAGGCTACTTCACATATCCTGGAAGTGAATCACACAACCGCAGGGTGCGCTGAATGTTTCCCTCAGAGCTGAAGCTCATTTTGAGGAGAAATTCTCAAGCGGTTTGCCTTGCTGTAATAACAATGATTAGACCCTTTAATGTATAACACAATGCCAGAAACGTTATGAGAGGGGGAAAAACCCACAGAAAACAAGAGAGTTGTTTCTAAAAATCAAACAAACAGTGGCCAAAATGTAGGGGAGCATTCCTCAGAGCTTCATTTTGAGGAGAAATTCTCAAGCAATTTGCATTGCCGTAATAACAATGATTCGACCCTTTAATGTATAACACAATGCTGGACACGTTAGGAGAGGGGGAAACCCCCCCCCCGAAAACAAGAGAGTTGTTTCTAAAAATCAAACAAACAGTGGCCAAAATGTAGGGGAGCATTTAAAAAATTGTACCAAGGCCATAGACGCTCAGGTGAGAGGAACTGGGACCCCTACAAACCCCTCCCCCGTTGCATTGGATCAGGTGATTACACTGGGCAGAAAGCGGGTAAAAGCGAAGTCAACCCAATTAGATTTAACCCCCTCTGCCGGCTGAACAATGACAAAATTAAGACAACACCCAACTAAAAAGAGGTGATTCCCCAAAAGGCTTCCCCACACTAAGCTGTTCATGAAATGGTCACCCGTTTTTAATGTCAATTCCTCTGCGCCTAATTTGATGCCAACTGTGGACTAAATTGCTCATGTAGCCATCCCCTAAAACGATGGCTCCCAACCTTGGGGAATTTGGGTGTTCTTGGACTACAACTCCCAGAATCCTTGACCTCTGCTGGCCAGGGTTTCTGGGAGTTGCAGTCCAAGAACACCCGAGTTCCCCAAGGTTGGGAGGTAAAGGTAATGGTTCCCCTTGACATTTAGTCCAATCATGTCTAAGTCTAGGGCGCAGTGCTCATCCCCGTCTCCAAGTCGTAGAGCCAGCATTTGTCCAAAGACCATTTCCGTGGTCACGTGGCCAGCGTGACTAGACATGGAACCCCATTACCTTCCCACCAAGGTGGTCCCTATTTATCGACTCACATTTTTACATGCTTTCAAAAGACTAGGCTGGCAGGAGCTGGGACAAGCGATGGGAGCTCCCTCTGTTGCGTGGATTTGATCTTACGACATGTGGATTCAATTTTAGGACAGCTGGTCTTCTGACCTTGCAGCACAGAGGCTTCTGTGGCTTAACCCACAGCGCCACCACGTCCCCTGTTGGGAACCACTGGCCTAAAAGTAACTTTTTTTTTAACAATAGAATGAGTTGCTTTCACTGTTTTGAAACCTCTCTCCAAGGTTGCTTTGGGCAATAAATTCATTTTTAAAAATAACTTTCCAAGCATGGATTCATCCTGCCTCTACTATCAAGAAGGAGATGATATTATCCTGCCAAATATACATTGAGCCACTCAAGTACCTGCTCAGTCACACATTATTAAATAATGTCCACTCCAGTCCAGTGGTTTGTTTTTGTGTTTTTTTAGAGAGAGAGAAGGCTCAGGGACACAGGACTTTGGAAAGACCGAGAGGGACGGGGAGGGTTAACAAAAGAGGCCTTCGTTCTCGGAAATTAGTTAGAACAACTCTGCAATGGATGGACATTATTTAGTAATAACTTGGTAATGGATGACTTAGAAATGCAGAGGAAGAATAGAAATGACAGGTGACACATGAAGAATCACAGAAGCATAGTGGTGGGCAATGACAATTCAAGCAATAATTGCAAAATTGATTACTTTTAATAAACCTTTAGGTGAGCATTATTTATGCATAATCCACCACACTCTAACAATGAAATCCAGCTCTTTATTTTCTAAGTGCCTAGAACATAATAAAGGTTCCATTAAAATCTGAAAGGTTTCAGGTTCAGATGATTGAAGCTCGTGTTTAATGTTGAAATGCTTCAGATTTTCACAAATGCCTATATATAAAATGAAGGTGCGATTGTTGGTCACTACTATTTCATTTAAATAAATAAAAATATTACCAAGACCTCACTACAGTACCTTGTTTTGAGGTACTGAAAGAAGGCTGAGGTAAATAAATACTTAATAAGCTTTACAAGATAGTCTGATGCATTGGTTAGATGTTGAATTTGAAGCACATTGAGGCCTGGGTTCAAATCCTGACCCAGACATGAAATCTGTGAAGTGTTTGTTGACTAGTATGGTGGACCATATCACCAGGCAGCCACCTTAGGCAGCAGATTTGGGATGTCCTAAGAGGGCCGTACATGGATAGTAATTAAATTGTCATTATTGGATGTTTACTGCCAGGGTTGGGTGAGGAGGTCGTGGATTTTTTGCTTTAAAAAGTAAAGGTAAAGGGGCGAAGAAAACACGGCTGGATTTTGATAATGTCCATCTTGACTTGCTTCAGTCTCACCAACAGAGTAGACCTTTGGTCTAGATGGGCGGGATAGAAATCCGACCGACCGACCGACCGACCAACCAACCAACCAACCAACCAACCAACCAACCAACCAACCAACCAACCAACCAATAAAACTTTGTTGAAACATATTATAATTGGTTGCCAGTAATTAAGGTCAGTACTCTAGCTCTGATTTCAGCTAGAGTGCCGATCCGTTGAGTCTATCATTGAATAATATGTCCGCACTTAATGTAAATCCCATTGAGTTCATGAGTCTGCCTTAGGTAGGACTAGCTGCAAGATGCTGGTCTAAAGGTTTAGGTTGCATGCTCTACGCCCTTCCCCAGTAGGAAGTCCCATTGAACTCAATGGCAATTATCTTTCAGGAAACACACATCAGATGGTTCTGTGAGTTTGGTGCTTCCACTGACATGACAGGGAAAAGCTCAATGAACGCAATTGTGTCAAGCAAAAGTCCTGATAAGAAAACAGGGAGAGATACAGACAACCTGAAGACACCTGAGTCTTCTTGCTACCTGCCATAGTGTAGGACAGGCCACCTCCCCCATGCCCCTCTATCGGTGCCAAAGTTTAGCTAAGTCAATCCTAATATTTTGGCATACGAGGCAGAAAATCTTCCACACAACTCTTTTCTCCCAGGGCAATACAAATAGGAGAAAAGGTTCTGAACAACTAAGCATGTTTGGCTCTTTCTTGCCCTCCATAATCTGCCCCCTGAGGCTACTGCTTTGTCGTAGGCGGCAACCCATTCTTAAGCTCCCCACAATCCAAATTTGCCCATCTTCGGGAGGGCCCACCGTAGAAAGGAAGGATTACCTCTGCCTTTTCTTCAACGATGAAGTCAAAGCTCCATATTTCGGAAGCCCAAAACAGCACCAAGAAGCAAGCAAAGTGCATCTTCTTCTCTGCGTCTTCAAGAGGACACTAAGCCTAAAGGCTGGGTGGCCGGTGGACACGTTACACCAAGTTCAAGGTGGGTAGGTGGGACAGGAGGGAGGGTGGGGGGAGAACACCAGTCCCAGATGTCTCGGTGGTATTTTTTGAAGATCCTTTTGCAATGCTAACTTTGTTTGAGCTCAGACAAATATTTGCCCAATAATGCACGTCGGGGCACAGGTTACGGGTTGTGTCAACAGGTCTTTGCTAGGCCGGCATCCTCTGATAACGGTTCGGCGCAAGATTGGTGCTGCTCAATTTCGCTTTGTCGTTTTTAACCCCATGCTTTTTGGACTGAAGCAAATTCAGAAGGGGCCATGGGTAGGATTGATGGGGCTCTGCGGGGTAGGGGTGGGGGGAGGAAGAGGAAAAGTGGTCCCTGGTGAAATCTTGGTACAATCATAAAGACTGAGTTGGATACATTCATTAAATGAACTTCCAACAGATACAAGTACATCAAAGGGCCCTGATTTTTTAAAAAAAACTGAGCAATCTATATTCAGCCTGGCAGCACCGTTTCAGGGAAGCATGCAGAGAAACACCATTTCCAGCACAGTTGACATATACAGTATTTATGTTTATTGTCCGTCTATTAGATAAAACTCTATTCCGCTTTTCCTCCAACACACTTAATGCAATCATGTTTTATCCAACAAGTGCATCATTTTCTTCCTCTCCACTTTATAGCATATTTGCAAAGTTAACGGGCTGGAAGCCAGAAATCCTAGTGACAGAAAATCAAAACGACAGCCGTTTTTAATAGGTTTAATAGTGCTTTAACATGAATATGCTAATTTATTGTGATTTTTAATATTTGTACACCGTTTTTAGCTTTTTCTGAGCCTTGACTGACCCTTACAGAAGACATGCTGATCTTCCCTCAACAAGAGGGAATTTTGTCCTGGGCTCCCTGTCTTCACCTAAACCATTCGTTTCCAACCCTGAGTATCCCAGATGATCTTGGATTGCAGTTCCCACAAACCCAGGGATAGAACAGGTAGTGATGAAAGCTTCTGGGAATCGCAGTCCAAGAACACCTGGGTTACCCAAGGTTGGGAACCACTGACCTAAATATTGAGAGAAACTTCCTAGCTAATAACAGCAAAAGCTTCCTGACAATGGAACAGACTCCCACTGGAAACTGGAGAGCTCTACCTTTGCTAGAGGTATTTATGTAGCGAGCTGACAGTCATTTATACAGGATGCAATATCTGCCAGGTGCCTGCCCGGGACAAAGGACTAAATTTGTTGACTTTCGAGGTTAACCTTTAAATTCTCTGACTCTATGAAAGGCTGGTTAGTTGTGTTTTCCTCTTCTGGAATGCATTTCTGTGTACTCACGGTAAAGCAAACTCTGAGGATGTGCACCAGAAATGTTAGTATAGCTTGATTTTCCTCCCCCCTCCAGGTAAGTGGCATGTTCAGGAGGGAGCGAGCGAAGTAACTGCAGCATCGTAAAATAGCATTGCCAGCTTTTTGTGTCATGCAGTGTGGGATGGATATTAACATGCACATACATTTTCCTTTCCCACATTTCAGAACATGAGAATATTCTAGGCTTGGAGATACAGTAAGTCTCTCAGATGGCATGCATGTCATTTCTCTCTTACTATGGCACAGGAGCCTGGTGAAAAGAAAAGTTGTCAGCTCCACGGACAGAAATATTTTGGCCACCCCCTTTCTTTTACACAGCTCTTGCCAAACCTTTTATATTAGCTGGACAAACAGAAACCACCACCTGCTTCTCACACGAATTCCATACTGGAGGAAATATGACCTGCTTAATTTAATTCCTGCCACTTCTGCCTATGAAGAAGTCAAAAATCTTGCCGTAAAAACCTGTCAAATCTACCCTCTAAAGCATGATACAGATTTATTTGGGCTGATTTATTGCTGTTTTAACCATTTTCCTCCTTTCCCAGAGAATTCAGAGCTACAGTTTAGCTTTCCCAAAGGGTTCCCATGTATCCCTAATGCCATGGCAGGGAAAGTACCATATTTTCCCTTGTATAAGACGCCCCCCCACTTTTCTAATCCCCATATTTTTCCTTGTATAAAATGCCCCCATGTGTAAGACGCCCCCCTTTTCTAATCCAAAATTAAGAAATCTAAGTGGGGCTTAGGAAGTGTAGGCAGAAAAGGATCAAAGTGCTGCAGGATTACTTTGATCCCTGCTTTCCCCTCCACTTGTTTTTGTTCTCCCCTCAGCTTACTTCTGTGTATAAGACGACCCTCAAATTTTAGTCTAAAGATTTTAGACAAAAGTATAGTCTTATACACGGAAAAATACAGTACAATAATTTTGCTTTCTACTATTTCCCATATGTAATCCTCCACCCTTTAAGGTGCTGTTGGGGTCATGAAAAGATACTGTACATCCCAGCTATAACTGATTTTCCCCCACTATAGAACTAATGTCAGCTTTGGGAAACACAGATTTCATAGAATCATCGAATCATGGAGTTGAAGGTCGTCTTTAAAACCATCAGGTCCAACCACCTTGATCAATACAGGAATACAAATCAAAAGATACCGGCCAGGTGGTTGTCTAAGTTTCTCTTGAATGCCTCCAGCGTTGGGAACACTCACCACCTCCCGATGTCATTGCTTCCATTGTTGTACTGCTCTAACAGTTAGGACGTTTTCCCCCTGATATTCAGCCTTAAACTGTCTTCCTGTAGCTCAGGGCCATTATTATGTGCCCTACATTCTGGGATAATCGAGAAGAGATCCTTTCAATCATGAGAATATGAGAATGAATAGGAATATGGTTTCAGATCATTGTTTAGAAGAATTTACCAAAATTGGCAAGTGTCCCATCTTTTTTACAGAACACACTGAAATTTTAAAAGTGTGAAAGTGAAAAACATATGTAACCCTGGACTGCAAGGAGAACAAACCTATCCGTTTTGCAGGAAATCAACCCTGAGTGCTCACTGGAAGGACAGATCCTGAAGCTGAGGCTCCAATCATTTGGCCATCTCATGAGAAGAGAAGACTCCCTGGAAAAGACCCCGATGTTGGGAAAGTGTGAATGCAAGAGGAGAAGGGGACGGCAGAGGACAAGATGGTTGGACAGTGTCATTGAAGTGACCAACATGAATATGACCCAACTTCAGGAGGCAGTGGATGAAGGAGGGCCTGGCATTCTCTGGTCCATGGGGTCACGAAGAATTGGACACGATTTAACGACTAAACAACAACAACAAACGGCCCAATTAAATCTGATGTTCACATTTCTTCATATTTAGGAGGATAAAAGCCTGATGTTGAATTAAATGTGGGGGACAATAGTGTGTGTGTGCGTGTGTGCGTGCGTGCGCGCGCGCTTCTATCTACACATAGAAAGACTAATTAGATATCACTTTCATTAGCACAGCTTTCCAGATCCAGCTGGCTGTCCATACGTGCCATCAGCTGTGACTTTTGGAAACTCTTTTCAAGGTTTTTTAGGTAGAGAAGACCCAGAAATGGTTTAACATTCCCTTCTTTCTGGGTGTGTCTTGGGACTGTGTGCAGCTTGCCCAAGGCCACCCAGGCTGGCTTTTCTCCCAGGAGGCACAGCAAGGAATCGAACTTCCAACTATACCTAAACCACTGATTAATAATCTAGCTGATTAATAATAATAAAAATAAATTAAGTAAAAAATGAGAACAGTTCTGCCCTGGCAAGGCATTTAATATATCTAGGCGAGGCTTTACACTTTTATGGCTGAAATCCTATTGTGCTTGGCGTTATGCCTGTGGAAGCTTTCAGGGAGTTGTACCCACGCTCATCATCTGCCTCACTGCACAATGAACAGAGCATTGAGCGCTGGACATGTTGCCCAACTGTGCCTAAAGAAGAACTTTCCAAAGAGAATTCTGCCTTAGAGCAAAATATCTACCCTTACATCTGTCCTGGAGCCTTTCTGGATAGCACTATTTGCCCAGAGCTGGCTGGAGAGTTCAGTGAGTTAATATCTGCCTGCAGAGCCAGAGGTTAGGTGTTCAGTTCCCACGGTGCATTCCAGAAGAGCCAGCCTGGGTGGCCTTGGGCCAGCTGCACACGATCCTAGGATGCTCCCAGAAAAAGAGAAGGGTCAACCACTTTTTGTGTATTCTCTACCCGAATAGGGTCACCATAAGCCAGAACTGATTTAGTGGCACATGATGATGATGATTGTAATGTACCCAGAGCGCCACCAGGTGGCATCATGTGCTTAGCTATCCTTAGTTTGCCTAGCACATACTAAATACTAAACCTTGGTTTTCAAATGCTACGCACACTGTTACTTTTAATACTTATCAGGGTCCAAAGGTTTGCTGTCTGTGATAAAGGAGAATAGGGACGACTGCCCACCCACTCCAGATTCTATTAACGTGAAAGATGGGAGCTTCGTACATTTTAAGGGTCTAGAACAAGGCCCCACAAAGAACACCAAGACAACAAGGAGGGGTCACGCCCAAAGTCTGTCTGCTCCAGAATCCAGCTTCCGATTACACCTTAGGAAATTTATTTTGGGGGGAGAGATTAAGTGCAGAAATTTGCAGAATTTCCAGTTTGCTATCAAGCGAAGGCTTAAAAACTAGGGGCATTGCAGCTCCTTTGTGTTTGTTTGGACTACGATTCCCAGAATTCTCTGCTAGAGAAGGCTTTCACAGTCTCCTGAGCTACTACACTACAGCGTTAGTCCAAATGTCACTGCCATGTCATTGCCAGAACTACAACACTGGAACTCTCTGGCAAAGAGGACTAAGTTCCTTACGAAGCTACAGACTCCAGGTTTCCGTAGGAAGCAGCAATGACGGTGTGAGAAGTATCAAACAGCGTCATGTAGTTACATGGATAGTTCTTTCCCCCTGCCTGCTCTATATTTTCCTGTTAGCTTGCCCTTCAGCCAGCCTGCCCTAGCAAATAATTCCACAGGCTTCGGTGCTGGTGAGGTAAAGAAGAAGAAGATGCAGTCTAAACATTAGAAAGCACCAAACCAATCTCACGGATGCTCTACATAAATTCTAAGAATGAATCTCCTGCTGCCCAGCCCACACCTTCGCACTTTGCAAACCAGCTGACCTGGTGTGAGGCGACCCATGGAAACTAGGAGGTGCAATTAGAGATGGGCATGAATCACAAAAATGGTGATTTGTGTTGA